ACATGAAATTTATACTTCCCTATGAAAATTATGGATAATTATTAAGGAAAGATGGTTATGGAACCTAGGGAACTACCTGGGATATATGGTTTTACTCAAAAAAATCCATCGCCTAGGCGACGAGGTGACAAGGCGCCCCCCTGTCACCTAGCCTCACCTTGGTGCCTTGAAAACTATGAACACCAAAAGCCATGACATTTCCATGCTGTTTTCCCGGTTCCACCTGTCATGTTCTGCACTCCCAAAATTAGGTTCTTTAATTTTCCCATTTATATACCCTATATTTCCTCTTGCACTAATGTACAATCTAGTCCCCCTTGACCACTCTAGTTAATTGAGTCCATCTAGAGGTATGACAGCCAAAGGTATGACAACCATTCTGCATTCAGGTCACACCTAAACAGCCACGAAAAATCAAGGGCAATACAATCCAACACCACAAAAGATTGATTTTTCTCAGTTCACACACATACACAAAAAGGTTGATTTCTCCCTTTCACACAATGTACTACTGCTGGAAATTATAGTACTGCACCAAGGAACTGTGGAACAACCACCTCTTGGACCTAGCAAACCCCTACAGTCACTGAACTTTTCATTTTACTGCTGTTACGGAACATACAAGTAATCACCAACCTACTGAAGGGATGAGAGATCCATCGTATGGATGCCCAAATCTTGTAGAATAAAGGGGCGAATTTCAAAAATTTTTTTCTCCCTTTCAACTGGGAATCGCATTCCCTATTTAGAAAATTATATTTTCAAGGATCAATCTTGAATCATAAACTGAACCAGATCTGAACCAAAAGTAGTAGGAGAAGATTATACCTGATACGGAGAAACAATATCCCCCAACGAAGGTGTTCACGCCCAAGGAAGGATCCAAAGACTACTCGCACTGAAGATGGCGCAGTGCAGGATGGAGCAGAATCAGTAGTATTATTCTCCAAGAATTTTGTCCTTCGCAAGAAACAGCAGGATGGCACGTGAGCACAACTTCCTATCAATTCTTTCTCAAAGAACTGATGTCAAGATCGAATCTTGACTTCTCCCACAACTGGAGGTCGAACTGGCAAACTGGGCGGCAAGAACAAGGAGGCGGCAAGAAAGAATTCTGCAGGGTTGCTTAATTCTCTCTTCTGTGTTTTCAGCACTCAAGAGGATGTGAATAATCTCTACAAAAGGCTGCCGCCCCTTTCTTTTGTAATCCTAAAGGATCCGCTCCTAATCCAATTAGGACTTGCTGATCCAAATCTGATTTGGATCAGACATCCCTTTAGGTGATARGGATAAACCCTTATCTTATCTGCAGATTAGATTAGCCTTCTCCTAATCTCATTAGGAGGTTTCTAGATCTGAATCACATTCARATCTGGACTCTATGAGTGGATAGGGTTAAGACCCTATCCTATTTGCTAATCCATCTCAGAATTCGCCCCATATTTAACTAATTAAATAGCCCAGTTCGAAATGGGCTTTAGGCCCATTAAGCTTATGTGCTCACT